AACTGATAAGGCTGACCGAGTCTCCAGCTGTTGGTTAGCTCAAGTTGTTGCTTCTACCCGTTACAATAGTAGCTAATTACCCACTCCTGTTTGTTACCCCAAATCTCTCACACGTTCTGATCATGTACTTCAAGTCAAGTGTATAAAATACAATACCGAATTTTCACAACTCTTCATGGTATCAGAGCCTCAACTAGCTTAATAGCCCATCTAATCCCTCTTTATTTTCCTGTCTCGACCCTACCTCTTCTCTTTCTATCTATGTTCCTCATCTTGCTTCCTTCTTCCGCCATCAAAGATGTCTGTCTAACCTCATCAGATGCTACAAGCCCTTCATCCCTCCCTCCGACCCTTCCAGCTCTCCCACATATTGCTGCCAAACTTACCTCCAAAAACTACCTTCTCTAGAAGCTCCAGCTTCTCCTTCTCCTAACTAGCTACGACTTCCACAAACATATTGATGGCTCGCTCCCTGCTCATGCCCGCCAAATTGATGGCGCCCCCAATCCCTCCTATGTTGTTTGGTACAAACGGGATCAATTTATTCTCTCCTGGATCGTCATGTCTCTCTCTGAAGTCGTTCTCTCCAAACTTGTTGGTTGCAACACTGCCCTCGAAGCCTGGACACGCCTAGCTACTGCTTATGGATATGAGAATCGCCACAGCATCTGCCAACTCAAAGATCAATTTGAAGCCCCCAAGTGCGGCAGCGACTCCATCGAGAAATACCTCGAGCGGGCCAAAGATGTGGCTGATCGGCTCGCCTCCATCAATCTCGCTGTCTCCGATGATGACCTGGTCGCTCGCTATCTCAAGGGATTTGGCGAAAAATTCCTTCCGTTCGTCCGTGCCATTGAGGCTAAGTCGGATCCCATCTACTTCGACGATTTTCACGTCCTACTCCTTCGTGAAAAGCAGCGTCTTGAGCAGTCCAATCTCCTTCATGATGGTCCATCGGCAGCACACTTTAGCCGTGGTGGTTGCAGGCGCTTCTCCGGTCGTTCTGTTGGTCGCGGCAGGCGGTAGGGGGTACTCTTCCTCCTTCCCTTCTTTAGCAGACTCACACTCATTTTATGGTCCAGGTACCAGCCCAGGGTTACTTGGACCCCGGCCCAACGCACGTCCTCCTCCGTCTGCTCTTGTCCAATGCTTCAACTTCCGCGGGTTTGGCCACACCGCCAAGCAATGCCCATCACCAGCCCACTACTCTCGTCCCTACCCAACAGCCAACCATGCCAACTCCCCCGCTCCTCAAGACTGGTTAATCGACTCTGGTGCCAACTATCATCTCACCTCCGACCTCAACAATCTCGCACTGCATTCTGAATATCACGGCCCCGACGAGGTCTCGTTTGGAAACGGTAACTCTCTCCCTATTTTTCACTTTGGCTCTTCCATCGTCTCCTGCTAAATCATCCCTTACACCTATCTAAAATTCTTCATGTTCCTTCTGTCTCTCGAAATCTTCTTTCCATCAATGCTCTTACTCGCACTAATCCTTTATCTCTTCATTTTGTTGGTGGCTCTTTTGTCATTAAGGACACGCGCTCCCAGAAATTCTGCATCACGACCAGAGTCATGAAGGCCTCTACATCGTTCCCTTGTCTGTCATCTCTACTCCTGCTCCCCGTGCCTTCCACGTCACTCTCGCTCATTGGCATCAACACCTCGGCCATCCTCATTCTCGAGTGCTTCATCAAATCCTTCGTAATCACTCTCTTTCTGTTTCAAATAAACGTTACTCTGGTCTTTTTCATGGTTGTAGTGTAGCTAAGATTCACAAACTTCCATTTCGTGCCTCTCAATTTCAAGCACAAGGGCCTCTCGATTTAATTCGCAGTGATGTCTGGGATCCTGCTCCCGAACTATCATATGATGAAAATCTCTACTACATTTTGTTCTGTGATCATTACAGCAAATTCACATTGTCTTTCCCACACGCTATCGCTCCAATCTTCTTGATATTTTCATCCGCTTTCGTACCCATTTTGAAAAATTCTTTGGTCGTCCTATGAATATTTTTCAGGCCGATTGGGGCGGTGAGTATGAAAAAATGAGCTCCTATCTTCAACATCATGGTATCCAACATCGCTCCTCTTGTCCATACACCCCTAAAAAAAATGGATGTGCCGAACGTAAACATCGACACATTGTCGAAACTGGTCTTGCTCTGCTCCACCATGCATCTGTTCCCACAAAATTTTGGCCCTTACCCACTCCTCTTCTTGACTCTCATACACCACTTGAGGTCCTTCACCACCAACAACCCACGTACTCCAGTCTCCGGATTTTGGTACTTTATGTTATCTGTGGTTGCGCCCTCTCACCAATCACAAACTTCAACCCCGTTCCTCACCTTGCGTATTTCTCGGCTACAATCCTATGCACAAAGGTCACCGTTGCTACAATCTGCCCACACACAAAATCCACATTTCCCGCCATGTCCTCTTCGATGAAACCTGTTTCCCTTTCAAAGAACCTCGTTTCACATCTCACACTTCTACCCTACTACCCACGACACCTGTTCTTACCACATCCAATCCATTACCACTACCACCCCCATCTATCTCCCTTGGGCCACAACCTCATTATATTGGCCCACCCCTACCCTCACCACCTCTAGCCGAACCTCACACCCGTCACACTCTCTTCCCTCTTCTGTACCAGCCAATCCCATCATCACCCCTCCCACCCCAGCACCTCCATCCGCCCCAACCAACCCCACTTTCCCTCGGCCACCAACCCTGCCTCGTTCCAATTTACCTCGTCGCCCCTACCCTCTACCTCCCTCCCTCGCTTCAACACCTCCCCTCGTCCACTCCCTGCTTCGGCCATACCCCCTCTTCCCCGTCGCCCCATCACCCGCACACAAACCGGCCACCTTAAGCCTAAAGCCAACTATTCCTCCACGTCCCCCACCCTACCTTCCATTCCCACCACGACCAAACAGGCTCTCCTTCACCCTCTTTGGCGCGCAGCAATGACGGAGGATCATAGTGCTCTCCTCAAAAATCAGACCTGGAAGTTGGTACCTCGTACCCCCACCATGAACTTGATCACCTGTAAGTGGCTCTACCAAATCAAGACCAAATCCGACGGTGCAATTGAGAGATACAAGGCCCACCTTGTTGCTCGCGGTTTTCAACAGTGCCCCGGCCTCGATTTCGGTGACACATTCAGCCCTGTCTTGAAGCCAACTACCTTACGGATGATCTTGTCTCTTGCTGTCTCACAAAATGGCCAGTTCGCCAACTATACATTGCCAATCTTTTTTGCATGGTACTTTGACTGATGATGTCTTTATGCAGCAACCACCAGGCTTTGTTGATCCTGCTCATCCCAACCATGTTTGCAATCTCCAAAAGTCTCTCTATGCCCTCAAACAGGCGCCCTGAGCATGGTTTCATTGCCTCCGTCCAGCACTAGAGGCTTATGGATTTCGTGGCTCGAAGACTAACACTTTCCTGTTCATTCTCTGTCGTGGCTCTTTGCGGCTCTATGTTCTCATATATGTCGATGACATTAGTAATCACCCATCAGCCTTGCAGGAACTACTTCTCTATCTCAGCAAGAAGTTTGCAGTCAGGGATCTCGGCTTCCTCTCTTACTTCCTTGGGATGGAAGCCCTTTGGACTCCTCGTGGGCTACTGCTGTCTCAACGAAACTACATCAATCACATCCTTGATCGTGCGAAGATGACTTCCTCCAATTCTCTCTCTACTCCAGCCGCCACCATCCCATCTGAACAGGACTCCACAGCCTTTCTTGACGGCACTCTCTATCGTCAAATTGTGGGTGCTCTGCAGTATCTTCAATTCACTCGCCCCGACATTGCTCAAGCCGTCAATTATTGTGCACAACATATGCATCAACCTCTTCACCAGCATTGGACGGATTTCAAACGCATATTGCGTTATCTCCGTGGCATTACTAATCATGGATTATTTTTCAGTACACACTCTTCTCCGCAGCTCTCCGGCTACTCGGACGCAGCATGGGCCAACAGTGTCTCCGATCTTCGCTCGACAACCGGCTATGTTGTCTACCTCGGCTCCCATTTAATTTCCCGGTCTTCCCGTAAGCAACGCACCGTTGCCCGGTCCTCGACTGAAGCTGAGTACAAGGCCCTTACCACTCTCGCCGCTGAAATCATTTGGATCCTGTCCTTGCTCATTAAAATTGGTTGCCCGCTACAGTCGCCTCCGAAGCTCTGGTGTGATAACCTTGGGGCCACTTATCTTACGGCCAATCCAATTTTCCATGCCCGCAGCAAACACATGGAGATAGATTTTCATTTAGTCCGCGAACGTGTGGCTGCCCGTCAATTGCTCGTCCGCTACATCTCCACTGATGATCAAATTGCTGATTTGTTGACCAAACCACTACCTCGCCAGCGCTTCCAGCATTTTCGACACAAGTTGAGGGTCATCGACCATCAACTTGCGAGGGCGTGATAAGGCTGACTGAGTCTTCAACTGTTGGTTAGCTCAAGTTGTTGCTTCTACCCGTTACAATAGCAGCTGATTCCCCACTCATGTTTGTTACCCCAAATCTTTCACACGTTCTGATCATGTCCTTCAACTCAAGTGTATAAATTCCATCTGTTGAATAATAAAATACAATACAGAATTTTCACAACTCTTCAAAAACAATAAGTCAATACCAATCAATTAAAAAAATACTACCATTGTACTTAACATCAATATCATTCGAGAAATAAAAATACTACCATTTCACAAAACACCAATACCATTGCAAATCTAATCACTACCAATGCGACAAAATTATTACCAATGTGACAAAATCAATACCAACGTGACAAAAATAATACCAATGTGACAAAAACAATACCAATACAAAAAAAAACACTACCACTATGGGGAAAAATCACTACCATTTAAAAAAAAATCACCACGGAAAAAAATCACTACCATTTAAAAAAAACATACCAACCCTTAAAGATGTTGGAGGTCTGCACGGCAAACCTAGGCGCGCACGGGATGACGGGTCCAGTCGGGGCGACGACGATGATGGAACAGACGGTGGAGGTTGCGCCGTTAACCATGTCACAAGAGGAACCGACGAGCGCAGAGGAGATAATGGCAGTCAGTGGGGAGGCCTTGCGCGATGTCGAGCCGAGGGAAGAGGCGCCACAGGGCTGCCGATTTGCATTGCCGGAGACGAGGGTGAGCGCGACAGTGCTGGGTCACCACCCATCCGACTGGTGGCTGGCCCGTAGCCGGAGAAAGAGGCGCGGAAGGAGTTGTCGGACAAGCAGGCGACGACGGATGAAGAAGCGGAGTTTTCTGCGAAGGAAGGTAGCGGCGTCGATCTCCTCTCTAGACCCAGGTCGCCGCCGAGGAAGAAGCTGACGGACAGGAAGGCGAGAGAGGGCGGTGGCCCTCAGCCTCTCGCAAACCCTAAGCCATCGTCGGGGAGGGTGGGAGCTTGCGGCTACGGCGGGTTTGGCTGTAGAAGTAGGATTAGGGTAGAATATATAGAATAATCAAGTGTGATCTTTTTTTTCTTCCAAAATTATCTTGAAGCAATCTTAACCGTTAGATTAAAAAAGAGGAAAGAGAAGAAAATAAATGGTGGATACTGATGTAGCCACGGTGACTACTAAAAATCCAGTTACCACCCTAACACATTCCAACGTGCATTCCAATTAGGTATATATATATCAATGACTAAAATCAATAAGAGCTAGCATATCATTGCCATTCGTCAATTAACATTATCATATATATATATCAGCATTTTAGGAGCATAGGAATTCTGCTTGTCTTTGGTATATTTATGACGATTGGTAAAAGGCAGATACATAGCAGCTGCTTGGTTTTACTATTGCCTGCCAGCATTGATGTCTTGGTTTCAATATTTTGACCCTACCAAAATTATAGGTGAAACTTATTGCCATAAAAATTTACAGTATCACATGTATAATGTATTCCGCTCGGAAATGGAAAGAAAAGAGACGTAGGGATCCCCATTATTGTTTCAACCATTACCCCCTTATCCACCCTTCTCCGATCCAACCTAGCTATTATTACAGTGCAGGCTGGGCAGCTCCATCTTCATAAATTCTGTAATGGTTAATACTTTTGTTGCTGGTGGGAGAATGGAGGTTCGTCTAACGCAATTGTACACCATGGTATATGATTCACTCCACCATGCAAGAACTACTATTTATTCCCCCGCAAATCTCCAACACCAAACGCATCATCATCAGTACTATTCCACTAGCCAACCTAGACAGCTCCTGAAACATGTCCACACAACTACTTCTAACCTTCCTTTCCCTGTTCATCTTCCTATGCTTCTGGCTTCTCATAAACAAGCACTCACCGCTCTACCAATGGCCATTGCTGGGAATGCTCCCCAGCCTTCAACTTGTACACACTCCACGACTTCATCACCGGAGCTTTGAGGCGAAACGGGGGAACGTTCCTTTTCAAGGGGCCTAGCTTCATCAAAGCCGACTACATGGTCACGAGCGATCCCACCAACATCAACCACATCTTCAACAAGAACGCCGCCAACTACGACAAGGGCCGGGACTTCAAGGCCATAATGGAGGCTCTGGGCGATGGGATCTTTAATGTCGACGGGGAATTATGGAAGTTCCATAGGAAGCTCCTCCATTCCTTGTTGAACAAATCCGAGTTCGAGGGTCACTCCATGCACATCCTCACACAGAAGGTGAGGAGCACCCTTATGCCGGTCCTCGACAGAGCAGCAGCGAGGACGACGGACAGGAACGAGTTGGTGGACCTACAGGACATGTTTAAGAGGTTCATGTTCGACAACATGTGCCTATTGGTCTTTGGATTCGACCCTCATTACCTCTCGGCTGCGGGGTCCGAAGGAGGCTGCCTCCTTGATAGTGCATGTGGCAAGGCATTCGATGAGCTGGAGGAGGTGGCGATCTACCGACACATAGTTCCGCTATGCGTGTGGAGGCTTCAACACCGGCTTAAGATTGGAATTGGGTTGAATTGCATTCGAGCTTGGAGCACCCTAGATGAGTTACTGTATGGTATCATCGAGAGGAAGAAGCAAGAATTAGCGACCAAACACTTTGTCGACAATGATGTGCATAAGAGAAACAAGGTGGATTTGTTGACACAAATCTTGGTCATGAAAGATGAGGATGACGGTGGTAACGAAAAAATCATTGATAAAACATCCGACAAGTTTTTGAGGGACACTACATTAACATTGGTCGCAGCTGGGAGAGTTGCCATCGCTGCCTGCCTTACTTGGTTTATATGGTGTGTGGCAAACCACCCTATTGTTGAGGAAAGGATTCTCCAAGAATTGAGACAAGTGATGCAACGTGACTGTCAAGTGATATTAATGGTAAGAAAAAATATTTTAATATACACATATGCACATATTTTTAGTCTTTTAGATAGTAAATGACATAATTTATTTGCCGCGCACCAGGAGAAGAAATAGGAGGATTCTTCATAAACGACGAGTTGAACAAACTTGTTTATCTCCATGCAACCGTTTGTGAGACACTGAGGTTGTACCCACCGGTGCCATTAGAACACAAGTGTGCCGTGGAGGCAGATGTCCTTCCAAGCGGGCACACTGTACATAAAGAAGAAAGGATAATATTGTCCGTACATGCCATGTCCATGATGGAGGAGATATGGGGAGAAGATTGCTTGAAATTCAAACCAGATAGGTGGATTTCTGAGAAGGGGACGATACTACATGTCCCTTCGTACAAGTTCATGACCTTCTTGGCTGGGGCAAGGACCTGTTTGGGGAAGAATATGTCATTCACGCAAGTCAAGTCCCTGGCCAGCGCTCTTCTTTGGAACTACAATTTTGAACTTATAGATGATGGTCCCTCCGATAGGCCGGTGCTTGGCATGGTGTTGTTCATGAAAGATGGGTTGAAGACGAGAGTCTCCAAGAGAAACCATTAAGAATAATATTGTTAATTAATGCACGATTGTTGTTGTAGTCTGGTGGTAGTGCTTGATCAATTTGTCACTATGTCTAGGGTTTGCATTAATGTGTCGTATGAGGTCAACTTCTTTTATTATTTGTGTTGTCCATGTAATTTCTTATCCAACTGCATGCTAGGTTCCCTATGACTATGCTATTCTTGTGTGTAGAGGTGGCAAATGGATTGAATCCATGGATTGGTGGATTAGATTGGTGTATCCATGGACAAGTGGATTTGGTCAAATGGTTTCGTGGATTTGATCAAGTGGATTAGTTAATTGGTCAATGAATCCAAATAACATCCCAGATTTGGACCAATATGTAAAATTTGAAATGTTTAGGTACTAAATGTCATGATGAAAAATTTTAGGTACCAAAATATAATTTTCAATGATATTTTCATGTTAAAAAAATTTAGGTACCAAATGTAAAATATAAAAAGTATAGGTACTAAATTGTAATTTGCCATTTGAATCAAAATGGATTGGATCTAAATGAATTTGATTAGTTGGATATTTAAGTGAATAAATTGGATTGGATTGAATTGGTAGATTGGATAACAAATTGTCACCTTTAATGTGAGTGTGGTTGTACTCTTTGATTGTGTTCAATTCATATATGGCATCATGGGATATTTAAGAACCGAATTGTCAATCGGTATCACACATATGCCATCAATATTCATATTTTTAATAGGTCATGCTCTTAAAATTGAAGAGAAAAAATTCCTTTCAAAGAATGAAGTACGAAGGCGAACAAGTGTTTGGTGCTGAGTGCTGACGTGATCAATGTAGTCAAAATCACGCGTTAAAACTTAAAAACTTACGCTTTTACGCTTCTAGGTCACCAAAATGCTTCTATACATAATCACCATTTTTATAACTAATGTAGTTAAAACTGTGCTTTAAAGCTTAAAAACTTACAATTTTATGCTTCCAGATTAGCAAAACGCTTCTACATAGAAACGCGCTTTTAACTACATTGGACGTGATACCAGTGGAGTTCTCAAATTCAAATATTTTGGTTAGCCAACGGAAGTATATTTGGGACTTATTGTCAGAAAATCAGTTTGAGAAATGCAAGCCGTGTACTACTCCTATGGAACATAATTTGAAGTTGAGCCTAATAGTGGGGATTTGTTGGACAATCAAACTATGTATCAGACCATTGTTGGATCTCTTAGGTACCTCAGTTCGACACGGCCTGACATTGCCTACGCAGTACAGGTGGTGAGCCAGTTCATGGGCATGGCACGTACTATGCATCTAGACGCAGTGCATAGAATCCTGCGGTATTTACAGAATACATAAGATGTTGGTATTTTCTTCCCGGTTAAAGGGGAACCTGTGTTGGAGGAATTTGCATATGCTGACTTTGCTGGTTGTATTGCACAAGACGGTCAACTTCAGGGTGGTGTGTAAGGTTTGGGAGTCCATTTGTATCATCGAGATGTAAGAAATAGGATCATGTCTCAAAATCTTCGACAGAGGTGGAGTAAAGGTCGATGTCAAAAGTTATTTCGGAACTGATTTGGTTGCAGCGGCTCATAGGAGAGCTGGGCCTCTATTGCAGTATGCCTATGAAGCTATTCGGTAATAATATGAGTGCTATTGGGATAGCCACCAATCATGTTCTGCACGATCGGACAAAGCACATTGAGACACATGTCCATTATATCAGGCAACTCGTGACTGAAGGAGTCATTCAGCTTAATTATTTGTCAACAGAAGATCAGACTGCAGATTTGTTGACAAAGGCAGTTGGTACCAGCCATCATTGGTTTCTGTCTAACAAATTGATATTGCATAAGCATCAATTTAAGGGAGGGTGTTGAAATTATGTATTATGCTTAGTTTAGGTAGCTTTATGTAATTATCCATATTACGTGAATTACTAAACTACGTAGAATTGGGGTTACTCTAGTGTTGTAGCCTGAACCTATACATACCTCCTCTATGTACTCTGTACAGACTAATCTAAATAAGATTGACTCTGGAAAGTGCTACCTCTCCCGTGGACTAGTACTGATTTTCAAGGAAACCATGTAAATCTGGTGTTCGTATTCTCAATTTTTATCTTCTTATCACTTCCACGACCGTGTAGGAAAACTAAGAAGAAAGCATCGAACTGCCATGCTCGAGGACGACGTCCAGCTCCCTCTTCGTTAAGTGACGAACGACGACGATCGAGGATGACAACGAAGAGGATTGACGATGAAGACGGGCCAGATTTTGACGACCAGCTCCCTCTTTGCTAAGCGGCAATGGCGATAGACGAAAGCGGTCGCGATGGAAAACAAAATAGAAACACTGCCGAGAGGATACGAACAGGCACGGGAAAATAAGGGGGGAAAATCTCAAAATACACATGTTTTTAAAAAAATTCTCAAAATATACACGTTTTATGAAAAATTCCCAATCTACACATGTTTGGGTATCACTGCGGCCGTTATCGCGGTGTATGCATTCGCCGCGCCAGACTAAAGCGGTGAATGTATCACCGCGGTTGACAGCTGCGGTAAAGGCTTCCCGCGTTTTTTGGCCGCTGTGAAGATTTGACCTAAGGCTGAAACTTTAAACGAACATAACTTTGCGCTCGGTTATTCGATTTTTTTTATTCCGCATAACTTTTCAACTTCTTTCAATCTACAACCATTCATCATCCCCAAAAAAAATGTCGTTTGATACCCCGAACGAGCAATTTTTTAATTTTGCCAAACTTTGTAAGGCCATAACTTTGTACTCAATCCGAATGTCATGAAACTTTTTTTTATTTTTCATAACTTCTTAAGAACTACAAAGTTAGAAAGATCTTGAAAATTTTTGCGGAATCAAAAAAAAATTCACTACGAGCGGATAACCAAGCTCAAAGTTATGTTAGTTTGAAGTTTCAGCCTTTGGTCTGTCATTCACCTTGGCCAACAAACACGGCGAAGCTTTCACCTTTGCCGTCAACCACGGTGATGCATTCACCGCTTTAGTTTACCGCGATGAATGCATACACCGCGGTGATGCCCAAACATGTGTAGATTGTAAATTTTTCATAAAACATGTGTATGAAAAACCACCTATTAACCAATAACTCCTAATAACTAATGGCCTAATTACCCTTAACCATCTATTAACTAATAACTCCTCATTAACTATCTATTTGCTTAACAACCAATAGAATTGCTTTGAGCATATGCTAAAGCTTTTGGGCTTAAGAACTCAACCCATAAAAAGGTATTTATAAAAAAATTTATTTATCTTATAAAAAATAGGCCCATATGCAATTACAAGTTCATTGCATTGCTATATGTACAATAAAAGTCAAGTGAGTTGGATTGCAAAAATGGTGTAGTGTTAAAAAAATTCACAAATGCAATTTCACTTATATAGGTGCTCTAATACCATGTTTCTGAATGGTGAACTAGACCTGGCAATCGGGTCAGGTTGGGTAATTTCGGGTCGAGACTTTCGGTTACGGGTCGGGTCGTGTTTGCTAGGCTAATTTCGGGTCAAATATTGACCCAACCCATTCGGTTTCGGGTCGGATTACAGGTCGTTTCGGGTTATTAGCGTTCTCAGAAGCAATATCAAACATGCTTCATATTTTCTTCAAGAACACAAATTTTCACAAATGCATGACAACGGTTTACTTAACACATGTCCATTAACATATTCTCAAATCTTCCCATGCTAATTAAATGAAATACAAATTACACAAATCGTCAAAAACAATCACAAGAGTAATGTTATTAAAAGAAACAAATGATATTTGATTATCCTTAAACTCCAAACATATGTCATTCAAATCCATGCGAATGTTTTTAAATATCTCACCAATTTATGAGTGGTTTTATCATTTTGGGAGTGATATATAAAATGGAGCGGGTCTAACGGGTCGACCCGCTAACCCACCCAACCCGACCCAAAAATTTGCGAGTTATCAGATTCTGGTCATTCGGGTTTCGGGTTATTAAAACTTCTACTTTTCGGATGGATTCAGGTCGGGTCAACAGGTCGGGTTGTAATTTGCCATGTCTATGGAGAACCGTTGGTTCGTATTCCCCTCCCACGTTACTAAACCTTCTGCATCTACTGCCAATCTGTATTAGTAATCAAAATTTGGAAGATGAAAACTATTTTTGCCTTCTTTAAAATTTCAATTTTCTTTTATATAATTTTTTAAATTTTATCGAAAACAATATTTTACTACTTCTTAACAATAGGAGAATGGAATTTCAAACGAATGCACAATTTATTGACGTTTATGACACCCAATAATCTGACACCCTATGCTTACTTTAGTGATATAGCTCCCACAATTTCCATACTTTAGTAGTAGTCGATATATTTTACCCCAAATAACCGATGACGCAAAAGTTTATTTTTACAATACGACATTCTCTCTTTAGTTCTCGTATGTAATTTTGTTTCTCATACATTTTAGGAGATGTCTTACATGTATTCTAGTTATTGTTATTATTATTATATATAAAGTAAAATCCAAGTTACTGTTGCTTAAGGATTTTGCTACCATGCACCATAATATATTGTTTCGATATCTATATTGCTAATATGTGTCTGCTTCATTATTTTTTTTACTTTGTATGCCTAAGGTTTTTCTTTTCATAATTTGCACCTCTTACAACATTCATAAATGTTTTTTATATGAATGATAGATGTAATTTTGGTTTGAGAGATTTGGTCTTACACTTGGTCTTACACATATGTGCTCTAGAGCGTTTCTCGATTTGAGAGTTATACACTTGTGGTCATTATGTATCATTTTTTTTTTTGCATTAGTCCTTTTTCATTTTTGATCATTTGATGAAAATTTGGAATGACAAAATTACCCTCCTATTTAGGTTCTCGCAATACACAATTCCGAACATCCATATCTCCCAGGATTTACTTTGTAACATAGACTTTAGTTCTTAATCATTTTCTTTCATATCGTAAATTAGTAATGACAAAATATACTAATTCTTTTT